TCAAGATCCTACTTCACAATTTATCCAATGATCCTACATCTCAATTTATTCAAAGATCCTACTTCACAATTTATCCAATGATCCTAAATCTCAATTTATCCAATGATCCTACATCTCAATTTATCCAAAGATCCTACATATCAATTTATCCAATGATCCTACATCTCAATTCATCCAATGATCCTACGTCTCAATTTATCCAATGATCCTACATCTCAATTTAACCAATGATCCTACATCACAATTTATCCAATGATCCTACATCTCAATTCATCCAATGATCCTACATCTCAATTTAACCAATGATCCTACATTACAATTTATCCAATGATCCTACATCACAATTTATCCAATGATCCTACATCTCAATTTATCCAATGATCCTACATCTCAATTTATCCAATGACCCTACATTACAATTTATCCAATGATCCTACATCTCAATTTATCCAATGATCGTACATCTCAATTTATCCAATGATCCTACATATCAATTTATCCAATGATCCTACATCTCAATTTATCCAATGATCCTACATTCAATTTATCAAATGATCCTAAATCTCAATTTATCCAATGATCCTACATCTCAATTTATCCAATGATCCTTCATCACAATTTATCAAATGATCCTACATCTCAATTTATCCAATGATCCTACATCACAATTTATCCAAAGATCCTACATCACAATTTATCAAATGATCCTACATCTCAATTTATCCAATAATCCTACATCTCCATTTATCCAATGATCCTACATCACAATTTATCCAAAGATCCTACATCACAATTTATCAGATGATCCAATGATCCAATGCAACATACATGTACAAGTATTTTAAATAACATTTGATTCAAATTAAAAATATTTTTCACAAATTGTCGTGTTAAATCACTTAAACTTTGTTTTGGTACTTTTTCACCTTTTTTCCCATCAATCTGTGTAGTTTTGAAAAGTCTCTTTATCTGTATTGTGTTTTTAATTTTTTTTCCATTGTTTTTATGAGAATTGGAATAGCAGCCTGAAAATAGTACTGTTAAACTTAGAATGTACTTGTGTTGATAAAAAATATATACATGAGCACACATTATGTCTTCCAAATTTTTTAGGTTGAAATTTCTAGGAGAGAAATGTGTCATATTTGTATCAAGGCAAAGCCATTCTAAGACCAACAGTACTATTTGAAGCTGACATTTTAAAATACAGAAAAAATCCAGATTATAGATTTTGATTTTTTTTATCACATGAATGGAAGTTTTTCCTAATTGTTGTAAGCAAGTACTTTAGATGCACATAAATCTGTTCAATATTCAGTTTTCAAACATAAAGCATTAAGATCTTTCCATTAAATGGTCTACTAAGCAAATAAAAATATCCTGCAAGAAACAGCAAATGCTTAAAACGGAAGAGATCTTAATGAAAGTTGGTTCAAACATGCAAGAAATCATCCATGTTAATGCTCAAGTTTGATTATATAATGTTGGATATGGAATGAAAGGGAGAAAAAACTGTGGGAAAGAAACTAGAGGACAAAAGTACAAAAAAGATAAAACAGTCACATTCAATAAAAGGCTTCTTTCTTAAAGACATCAGAGGAATTCTTCAGCAATAGAGGATGGAAAAAGTGTAATACAAAGGTTTATCCCCAAGACCTCTCTAAAAATGTCATTGATTAGTCTTTTATTCTGCTAAGTGAAATGAGTTTCACTGTGGTTTGGCAAATGACAATCAGTTTACTCTGATTTTACTTCAATATAACCCTTGGTTTGTTCAATCCCCGCTGACAAACTGTCTGT